TACCCACTATGTTTTTTAGAATCTACTAGGACCCCAGATGAAGGATCCATTCATATTTCCGTGTAAAATTCATATTTGGCGCCAAACTTAAAAATTTGCATTTTCGACCAACTTCAAACCCCCATAACTTTTGCATTTTATGTCGGATTTTCAAAATTTTATGCTTAAAATGATCACAAAAGTCGAAATTTTTGACAAAAAAAAATAAAAATAAAGAATTTCTAATTTTTGCAATATTTTTAGGATTTTTTCGACGAACCCCCATTTCGAAGAAAATTACGAAATTTTGCGAAAAGTTAAAAGCGATAATTTTAGAAAAAATTTCATGGAATAAGAAAGTTGAACTCTTTGTCATGATTTCTGCCAAAAATTTTGAAAATCCGTCCAGGATTTCAAAAGTTATGGCGGTTTCAAAAATAAAAACATTCAATTTTGGCGAATTTGGCGCCACGCCACGTCGCCAAATATGAGTTTTACACGGAAATATGAATGAATCCTTCATCTGGGGTCCTAGTAGATTCTAAAAAACATAGTGGGTACCCTGGACTCAAACGACAGGTCGTGAGTGTCCCTTGTTAGAAGTAAAATGGGTACAATCGTCATACAAACTTTGACGCACACTTTCTTGAAATTCAATACTATCAGAAAGGCTCGATTGCAAAGATCATGTTTTTCAACGCTATAAATTCAATAAATGTCATGAAGATGAATGAGCAGTATTGATGTTTTTACATATATACGTTCATACATGTGCATCACAAAAACAATTTTGGGCCTTGCCTAGGGGTTGTGTAACCGTCGTGTCAGTCTGTCTGTCTGAAACCTACTGGCAGACGAACTTCTGAACATTATCACATTAGTCTGAAAATGCGGAGCTCGACAAGACTTTGGATATTGGCATGACTGGTCCAGTAGTTAACCGGCGGCGGGGGTAATTTAGTGGTGCGGATGTCTTGCACTACATTTTATAAATTGTTTCAGAGACTAGAAATTTGACATGAGGCACACACTAGATCAAAGAATATGAAGTCAAATTTAAGTACATTTTGGCTATAGGTACCCAACAAATGGATATGCTTTTTGAAATTCATCAGAGAAAGCTGAAATTTGGTATGAGGGTGAAATTGCAAATCATCACCTGGTGAAGTAAACATGATAATTTCTCAAACTATTTAATCCTATACCTAACTCGGGCTATACGAAACTGCACGCTTGATGTTTTTGTGAACTACAGTTAAACGACGTATGTATAAGGTGAAGGCGGAGATGGTACATTTATTCGTTACACATCTAGATTTGACAAGAGGCCTTGTAAATACATTCGTCTATAGTTTTTTGTAGTGTTTAGTCTTTCATTTATAAATCTTACTATTTTGGTGCCATTCCTCAATATTTGTTCTGAAAGTTGGCGTAAATGCACTCAACCTAATAATTCTCACTGCAGGGAGCTCGCATGACTCTCAGAGTGCTTCCACTTCCGTTGATCCGAGACTTTTATCGAATCGATCTTGAAGTACAAAGAACAACTCGAGTTAAAGTAACGATTGTTCCCACTGAGATTGCATGATAAATTTGGCAGAACAAAGTGCGATACTCGCATGAGCAAGGTATGTAATATTCACTTATTGAGGTCTCACTTCCTTTCAACAGAACCGATGCATGTACATAGTCACATAAAACACCACTGCCTGAGGTGAAGATTCATTCTAAAGCGATAATAAGAATTGAATTACTGCTTTCATTAATATCTCAAGATTTTTCTCCTTCTACAATAAAAAAAATCATTTCACGCTCAAAAGTAATATCAGAATTGTTAAATTGTAAGATTAATCTATGAAATACTTGTGTCATATCATATGACTCATAAATATGTATGTATGTGCATATATACTTTACTTTTTTGCTGTATTTGTCATACATAACTTGCACCGCTTTGCTTTCCAACAAACTTTTGAGGATTTCTCTTCAGAGTTTTTGTTTAAAGTTGATCACGGTGTCATTTGCTGCTTATTAATTTTTCACTTTGATGCTAGTCGCGTGAAATAAATACGAAGATTGATTAGGCCAATTTGTTTTCCCGAGTTATGATTTCTCGATAATGCATGTTGAAATATGCATTTATGTTGTTTGTAGATAAATATGTACGTGCAAGTTGTGTCTAGCAAAGTTTCTTTAAACATCACTATTGGGAAAGTGTGAGTTGATCTTGAAGAGAGTGTAGTTAACACTTTATTAGTGATACGCAAGAGAGTTAGTTTGGAAACTATCTGGATTGACGAAAATTAATTAATTCTCTACCTGACTTTCTTCATCTTAGTCTTGATTAACTTTCATCTTTCACCCTGGAGATTAAAGGATTAATAGAAATTTAGAGCAATGCTGCCATTTATAAAGCAAGACATGCTTCCTGCAAAGCAAACCAACTATAGATTCAAGGATGAAATTTCGATTTTCTTCAGCATCAAAATCTCTAATCGACCAATTTTGTTGCGCTTCTGTCTTAATAAGGACCAAAGTTAAGTGTCCCATATTTTCGCCTCAACTGGCCCAGCAGTATTAATCCAATTCCAACCAAATTAGCATTTATAATTGAACTCGAAACAAATCTAAAGTTGAGAGGAAGGAATTTCACGTTCGTTTTCATGTTGCTTATGCTTCACACTACTTGAAGGGAAGGATTCTCAATTAAATCCAGAATAACTTTGTTCTGTTTTGCTATTCCACTCTCGGTCTTGTAACACTGTGGCTTTTGGATTGCTTACCATGCCTTCAATTAATGTATTGAGGACTTACAGTGGACCAACTGGATTGCATTGTTTGTTGTTTATTCAGATTAAGCTTAGATCTTAAGCAAACAAAGTTAGCCAAACTCTCATCCACCCGCGCAACTTATCGTTGTTATCTTGTTCCATGTAGCTAGATCCCAGTCTTGGTCGTCGCAATTTTAACACAAATACCAAAGAGGTTTTGAATTTATATCAACACTTGTCTATAAACCACTATCCGGAGTATAGCCCTAAAATCTAATTGATCCCTTGTAAATTGATTTAGTACTCAAATTCAATTTGTTCCCGTTTGCAAAACAAAGAGACTACATGTTCGACTTTACGACACGCAAGGATAGTTTTCTTTAGATTAATGAAATAAGCGCAGCGGCAGAATTGAGAGTGTATGTCGTAAGACCTCACATTTAATCAAGGAGACGAGATTGAGGGGAAAGATGTATGGTTGTATTTAGTACCATGTTATTCCCAGTGCAAAGTTATGAAACTTGGCTCAAATTTTGACAGCCCTGTCACTTTTCATCTCGTCCTGTTTCACCGAATGTTGAGGCAAGTTAAGTCAAGAACTATATGACTCGTAGCCCCTCAGACATCGTGGAATATGACGACCGCAAAGTTAAGATGGGTTTGAATACTTTGACTGAAATTAGACCAGTTCAAACCACGATGCTTCAAACTTGGCGATGGCAAATGGAGAAAGGGCATGTGAAATGAAACGTGAGAAATTCCAACTTTGCGTGGTCTTCAATGGCTGAAAATGATTATCAAAGCAGTGCAAGACGTTAAATGGCAAAATAGTTAGTCGGAATAAGAACATGAATTATAGAAACTGCGTCCAAGCATGTTTTATTATCTCCTCTGCTCTGACACCATTTTCATCTCGGTAAGTTCATCAGTGAATAAAGTTCACCCTGATCGTGTCACATTGCGTATGGAATCTATATTCCATGCAAAATTACTGCGCCAATGCCACACTTCTTCCTCAATAATGTCAAAGCGAGGCCAGAATAAACCACAACAGACCAAACCCAACCATTGTGTTTCTCCACCACTTGTCTTGCAGATGAATAATAATTGAGTGGCATCTTCCTCTTATAATCAGTGATCTCTCGTGGGTGAGATAATAATAACTAAGCCATGATATCAGCAATCATAACACATAGTCTTGGCGTTCATCATAACTGCATCACTTATTGTGCGAGATAAGATTGATCACTTTTATAAGTTGAGCACGCCTGATATGTCATGCAATTAGAATCAACACCTATTGTGTTAGTCACTTATATGAGCCTACGATGTACAAGATGTATGCATATTTGTATATATTTAGCTAAAAAGGTCCCAACTAATCACCGTCTTCTTATACATGCATGTTCATTGTCCTCGCTTGTCTAACTCCTATGAATAATGCTCTATACGCACCGTATAACTTTATTTATCACTTACGTACGTACTACAAAAACTCGTCATATTTCAACGCAGCAACTCGTGCCCTGCCAACTTCCTTGCCGTGGAGCCAATATTTTAGAATGAAGTGCGTACGTATAGATTTACTTTAGAAAAGCCAAGTGGAATTGTGAGTGTTACAGCAGCCAATCCTTTCAAATTTCCATCTCAAGGCAATGCTTGCCTTCACAATGGAAAATATGGCATGGGCGAACACGTGTAGGAGAAGGAGTACATGCATGAACGTACGTATAAACTCAAAACATTGGCACGGTGAGAAGGCTCTTATTTCAATATTCAATAGTTGAATAGGTTTTTGAATTGGATAGCAGATGGGACGACGTGGAGTTCAAGTACGCCACAAGTTATGCAAGTTATTTAACCACCGTACGGGAGAGGAAAGATATTGAAAAAGCAAAGCAATGGGCACTTGTGCACTCGCATTACCATCTTTATAAATTATCCTGCTACAACCTTTACGACCCGTGCACATTTTTGGACCGTGAAGAAGCATTACGGCCAGACAGGAAGCTTCTATGATTTTTGATAGATGAGCAGGCAGAATAGCATTACCGGAGACGTGTTGAAGGAATTGTTTCAAAATGATATAAAACGTAAGGCTAGCTATGATATAAAGAGAGGGCGAGTGAGAGGGGAAAGGAGACAAATAAATTGCGAATATCATTTCAAGCTTCAAAATGAGTCAATTAAATAATAAACATTTTTGAATAGCTTATTTAGAACTGCAAATCTGCGACCGATTCGATTTACCGTTGGCTCTGGTGACACTGAGATTCTGACCCTGCAATTGAAAATAATAATTCTTATAAACCTCTCGTATAGAACCGATTACAAAGTGTGATTTATTCATCGTAGGCATCAGGGATACAATCCGCAAAAATACACCTGCCTACTTATTTTATTACACCCTTTATACCCCATTGATTATCGGACGTAGTAGAAGACGTGGAGGTATATACGAGAATCATTTGTTCAGAATATTCCTCTCCCTCGACGGGGAAATAGAGAAGGTTGTCCCGTTTGAATTGGAAGCTCGGCATTTTCCATTAGAGATGGCCAAACATCTTTTCAATTCCAGTCATGCATTATACATCGTTCCGCCCTCAATATTGGTTTTTATATTAGTCGGTGAATTTTGAGTCTCATAAAGGTATAATAAAACTGTATTATTGATCGTGCGGAGAAAATAATAATTTAACTTGTTTTTTTGCTCAGGTTCAGACCAGCATAAAATATCTTTGAAAATGGTGGACATAAGGTGATAAATCCAAACATGAATTGATCCCTGCACAGTTCCGCATAATCCGTGTTTGCTAAAGGATAACCATGCTGCTTATAATACTTGCTTCATCTGTGTGTTAGTAACCGCCAGTCAAATGAGGAAGCATTTGCCGATGGTGAATACCCGACCCCAGCAAGAAAAGAAAGATGCAAAGTATTCACCTAAGCTAACCCTCACGATACAAATGCTGCTGTCATGTTGTTTGACATTTGATATCGATATTGATGACATGTTCTGCCAAGTTCCATAATCGCTACCAAAACTGTCATCATCAAATCCTCCATGATACGTCAGCATTGTTGCTTTTGGTTGTTGATTAGCGTGCGTGCGTGCTGGATGACATTTTGCTACAGAAATAAATAAATGAAGAGAGTGTAATGACGATGAGGTTCCAGTGCTAATAAATCGAATTTGCAAATGGGTCTATCATGTTAGCTACATGGCTGGTCCCCTCTGTAACAACAAAGCATTTTGCTAATGGGACTTTCAGAGCAGACTTGACGAGAAAAATTGCGATATTATAGAATCGACCCATATTGAATCCTATGACGAGGGAGCTAATTCTAATGTGACCAGTAAACAATACTACCTTGGAATATTTACATGTACATGTATGTACATATGAGTAGCTCGATCGTTTGTATATGCATGTATTCCAGCAGGGAATGGGGGAAAGCTAACGATCAAGTGAAATGTGTATTGTGCACAGAAAGTACTAATAATACATCATTTGTCCCATCTTCTTTCAATTTAGCTCGTTCCAAACCTCGTACGTAAAGCAGTAAGTCCGTAAAAGTGTATGTGCATCATCCACCAAAATTGCTGGAAATACATCTAATGTTTTTTATATCTTCAATGGTTAGTAAATTCTAATATCGTAACTAATTTAAAATGATGCAACGTAAAGGGTTGTCATTTTTCTTAACTTTTTTCCAACAGAAATGTGTATGTCTAACAAAGTAAATCAAAGGACGTCCTCGTTAACTCGTGCATATACTGAGGGCACGAAATTAATTTAAATTATAGTAACGAGTTTGACAAATAATTTGAAAGCTAAAGTAGGAAGTCAACCACCGCCAACAACAGGTTCCAGGCACACTCGCATTTCTTCACTTTCACAATATTATGCTATTCACAGAACTGCTTGCTCTACTTGGTTAATCATGAGTAGAAGAGTAAGCAACGTATTTAAAAACCGTGCTTGGGGGAAATAGCGGACTGCGTATGTTACATATGTTCAATCAAGGAATTGAGGTTAAGTGCTTTCCACCACCCGACAAATGATTGAGCTCGAGTTAAGATTGAGCAGAAACTTTCACCCTATTCCTCTCAACGACTGTTTAATGACGTATAAATTTTCCCTCCTTGCCTTATCTATCCAATGTCCTCAAAAGTACCATGTTTATATGTTGCTCAAGCAGAATATATGCGATGCAATGTGGGTATGTATATGCAATTTAGTGAATATGAAGCCAACAAGTTTCACATTTCGTCATAAAGACTAAGTAATATCCTCCCATGATATAAATGTCAACATCTCCATATCTCCACATAACGAAACAGCGTTTCATAAATAAACGGCATATTTATTTTAAGCACCAACTTTTAATGCACACCCACGATAAGTATATTTATTGCATAATATTTAGTTGGCATTGATATTTGAAAATTCCATATAATTTCATTACCAAAATGTTATTGCTTGTCAAATACAAATATTTCTTCTGCCAACGTACCCTCTGCTTGTGCGAGAGAGAAAGCATAAAAATGTAATTTCAATGCCTACTGGCAAACTAACATTTCCAAGGCGTATTATTTTGAATAATCAAAGATGTCTTTTACCAAACGAAAATCTTATAAGGTCACGTTAAAAGCTAAGAAATACCAATAGGCATCTCTAAATCTAAGATTGGAAATCCAACTTGTAAGAAATTGTTGCGTAATAAAATTTCTAATTATTTTGCACACTCTAAGTGAATGGAAAATTTAATTAAACGAATTTGTTTAATCATATGTCATTTACACCGTTGGTGACTTTTTTGCGTGTATAAACCCGTAGCATTGTCGCTTAACCCATAAAGGTCAAAGTCATTATAGCTGGGCGACGAGGATAAATTATTTTCTCGTGATTTCATTTAATCTTAATGCAATCGCTCAGCGTAGCCTAATTATGTCCAAAGATAAATAATGGACGTGAAAAATATGTACATGGCACAACGTCATGCCATACTATGCATATTCAACTAGTAGTGTTTTTGTCCCTTACAGTGTGTCCTAAACTAACGCTTCAGATGAATAAGTAACCGAAATTCGTTTTATATTCAGCATTAAAGTCATGAGTCATGATTTCAGGAAATCATCCACCCGACATTCAATCAATTACGGCCAAACAAGTTGATTGACGCTGAGGATAAAGGATCATTTCTATAAACTGTGATGGATATGGTTGTCTTTGAGTCCTGGTCACTAATTATTTACGGTCAGATGAGCTCAATCAATAAAACTGTGGTTCAGAGCTAATTGGGCTTTTTGCTATGGGACTTTTTACAGTTCATAGCTCGTCTGCAGATGAAAGATAATTATTTAGATAGATGTGATGCAGGCCACCCTTCCACTCTGAAATATTCTCAGCAAAGCAACACCGGCTCATCACGTCACGTTATATGACTTGAAACCTGTCCAATGTCTAGTCAACCGGCTAATTTCTGTTTACTTACAGTTTTTCAGGATTTATGGAAAAGCTATACCCAATTATTTTTGATGCTTTTCCTGTCATCCTAATTGATTGGGCGACTAATTCTGTTGATGACATGTACTGCGGGATGCTTAATAACTAACACAGTTTGTAAACAAACAATTAATTTATGAACGACCATTACTTCGATTTTCGACTGTTAACCCTTCACATTAATTCAATCAGGGCTGTTCAATTACAAATGGGAGTAATTAATTCCTAATTCTTAAGTACTCCGTTTGCGAAAATTGGAATTATGTACTAATTACAAATACTTCTTTGTCCAGTAATTGAACTTAATTATCAATTACAATTACTTTGCAAGCATGTAATTGAATTCAATTACCAATTACTTATTAGTAATTGAAAGGCAATTACTTAATACTCATACTTCAAATTAATTAAACGCTATTTAAAGGCTAACTTTCGACCAAAAAAATCATTTTCGAACAGGATAAAACGTTTATAAATATCTTGGTACAGTAAACAGTTCATTTATATGATCCAAAAGTTTAAAATTGCCGTGGATCTTTACTCCAGAGAGATAATGGCATTTTCTTTCCATAATTACAACATTAAAGTTGTTAATGCGTACATTTCTATCTATTGTATTTTACCTGACTCTGACTAACGAGATTGCTCAGGTAATTTTTGCAGCCCATGGAACATAGCCAGCTGAAACAATTGTAATATAAAATTGTAATTAGCTTGAAGTGCAAAAGCTGAATGGGAATGATGACCAAAGTGTTCACAACAAAAGATATGTAAATATTTACATAATTCGAGTTCTTCGGGAGAGGGAGACTTGTCGTATTTCATTCCAAGTATGTTCGATTAAGTAATTGATCAAGGTAATTGAGTACTCAATTACTAATTACTACTTGGCCAAGTAATTAAGTACTTCCAATTTTAATTACTCCAGGTCCTTCAAGTACTTAAGTACTTAATTACTTTGACAAATACCGGAGTAATTGAAATCAATTATCAATTACCAATTACTTCAAGTTCGGTAATTAAGTAAGTAATTAAGTACAAAAGTAATTAAGTACCACAGCCCTGAATTCAATGCGTCTCCTCATAGCTGGCAACCTTGATTAAGTCGGTTTTCCTGCATAATACCAACCTCCTCCACCTCACTGCAACATAGCCAACGCGTGATGGCTCCTCAGTGCGTGCAAAACAATAAAAAGGAAAGAGTTGATAGTTGTTGAACTGAAGAGCAAGATGAAACCGATCTCTCCTCCGCATCTGATATGCACATGGAAACGTGTGGTGCAGGGGATGTAATGGAATGATTCAAGTTCAACAGCCTCTCACTCTCCTTTGGCATCCAACCTGTCCCATCGCAAGAAACCGCTATTTCTCCTTGTTCAATTTCGCCGTATAAAGTCCTCCTCCAATTATGCAACTCGACAATGAATGCAACTAAATTCAACTCTTCCTGCATCGGATAATGGAGGGATCGAGTAGTTCTCAACAATTTCGTATATTTTTCAGTGGAACTACTTTAATTCTAATATTTGCATTACAGATCACGCATGCAGAGAAGTACTCGAGAACATATGCACAGATGCCACACCTTTGTATACGAAACACACTGGAATGAATTCTTCATGGTGTCTATTGATTTAGTGGCTTTGTTCAAATTCTCGGGAAATACAAGTTACACCAAATTGCCAAATTGCCATTCACGTTTTTACAACTTTCTCATGGCTGTAAATTACATAAATAAAAATAGACCTTATATGCAAGGAAAGCATAACAA